TAATAGTTTTACATCTAAAAATCATATTTTATTGTTTTAATCTATTTTCCTCATTCAGCAACCTATTAAATTTCTGTTATGTTTCATGTAGGAAAAATACACATTTTTTTCAGTCAGTATTTAATACAGCTGGCAAAATAAATTGTTAAAATATGAATTATGTGCTTCTGTTTTTTAATTAGGAGATTATAAAAAATCCTTCATTTATGGGAAGACCCTCTTATTCAAGAGAAAACTCTGTTTTTTAAAAAAATGGCTGCTTATTAATTAATTGTTAATCAATCTATAAGATAAATCGACTTCAGATTAATTCATTATCAATAACTTGCATCCTTAAGGAGTTAAATTAATTTATATCTACTCATATTCATGTAATTAAGCGTTTTAATGATTTGGCCGATTAATAGAAAAAAAATCAACAGATTAGTCTATTATTAAAATAATCATTAGTTGCAGCCCTAATATGTTGTTGCAGAGGTCCTGAGATGAACAGGATTCAAACCAAGTTAAAACATGATTGCTAAGTTTATGATTTTTTTCCATGAATGTTACAAGAAAAACCAGTTGAAAAAGGAGATCTGACCTAACACTCTTGTCCACTCATGAAACGATTGGCAAGGTGAATGTTTTTTAGTCAGATTATGGAATGCAAATGATTGTCATATGACACATCCCTGATTGATAAACAATATTACTGTTCACCTTAAAGCAGTGTTTACATAATATGATAAGGTGTTGGAGTTTTTATCGATTTAAAAAAAAGCTTCTGATAAAATAAGTCATAATATACTGCTGGATAAAATGGAAAGATATGGAATTGGAGGGGTGGGATGGAATTGGTTAAAAAGCTATATAATAGACATCAGTTTGTGCAGTTGGATGAATATGAATCAAAATGTTCCGACATCATTTGTGGAGTGCCACATGGGCCAGTACTTGGCCCAATTATGTTTGTAAAGTATTTAGACTTCTGAAATGAATTATATTTGCATATGTTATGAACATACTTTGCTCTGGACACAATTTAAAATATCTAGTTAACATTTTTAAAATAGAATTAAATAAATTTTAACATATGGTTTGATGACAACAAATTATCATTGAATTTGAATACAACTAATTTAATGGCAATCCAAAACAGAACATTCAAGACCAACTCATAAGAGATAATATAAATATTGAAAGAGTACATAAAATAAAATTCTTAGGAGTAATTCTAGACAGTAAATGTTGTTGGAAATCACATGCGAGATTTGTGAGAGCTAAATTAGCAAAAATCATTGTAGTGATAGCAAAACATACTGTACTGGAACAAATAACATACTGTATATTCCCTTTTGTTCGCTTATATTGCCTTACTTGATTTGAAATGCTTATAGAACAATATTACAATCATTATGTACTGTATACTTCAAAAAAGGTTGTCAGAACAATTCATTATGTTGTTCATTATGTTTGGTACATATTAACATAATATTTGTAATGTCCAAGTGTCTGAAGTTTACAGATTTAGTTGTGTATAAAACTATTCAATTACTGTACAAAGTGAAAAAACATGTAACATCCAGAAGATATTTTTTCTAAAATAGTTTTAGTTGGCGCTAGCTAGCTGACACGAACTATTATCGTTAACTCTAATTATCTAACAGTCTAAGGCAATTTGTGAACTGTTCTTTTGACGCAACTTTTTGGAAGGTCTGTTTATACAATACAATACAATACAGTACAATACAATACAATGCAATGCAATGCAATGCAATGCAAAGCAATGCAGTGCAATACAATACAATACAATACAATACATACAATACAATTCAGTACAAATTTATTTATAAAGCACTTTAAAATCACCACCGTTAGCCAAAGTGATGTACATTATTAACAACACACAAAAGCAAACATAAAACAATAAGCTAAGTACAATGAGCCAACAACAACAAAAATTTAAACATTAAAACCAACATCTCAAACTGAGTTAAAAGCTAAGGAACAAAAATATATTTTGAGAGCAGATTTGAAAATAGGAAGTGAGTCGGCATGTCTGATGAACACAAGCAGCTCATTTCACAGTTTAGGGGCAGCGAGTGAAAATGCTTGATCATCTCTCGGCCTCCTCTTTGATTTTGGGACGACCAAAAAAAGTGATCTGCTGACCTGAGAGCACGGTTGGAGCAAGTCGGACAGATACTTTGGGGCTAGACCATGAAGACATAAAAATAAAAAAACAATAAAACTTTAATAGATCTAAAAAATATATTTTACCAAATAAGTGATTTTGACCCAATTTTTGGGGTAAAAATCTGAACCCAGTCTACTGGGTCAAACTGAAAGGTCAACCCTGCTGAGGTAAAAACTACCAAGATGTCCAAATCTAGACTCAGCAATAGGCTACAGATTGGCTCCAGTGGTGGTTAGTGTGGATTAAGACCTGGTGACCAGTTTGTTTTTATTACTGTCAAAATAAAAATCCTGAAATGATTCGGACTGTGCACAGAACCAAGAGAAACATGTAAAAATATTATTTTCTTTTCCTTGCAGATGAAAGCACTCACTCCACCCAGTCCTCTGACTCATGTGAGTACTATCAGACAGAGATATTTGACCTGCTGCCCAGCGTTCAGGCTTCTCGGCCCGAGCAGAACAGACATGGCGCTTTGGATGTCAGTGAGGCCAGTGAGGGTGCTTCAGGGGCCGTGGAGGACTTCAGCCACAGCCTGGTGTCCAGAGGACCCAGGGACAAGACGTCCTTACAGCCGCTCAGAAACCTGGCCATGTGCATGCAGGCGAAGAGAGGAGCCAGGTAAGAAACTTTACAGCACATAAACACTTTTTAATCTTCAACTTTGTTTGATTTTTAGGAGTAAAAGCTCCGCATTGTCACTCAGAGCAGCGATATGTTAGAGCCACGTGATCCTTCTCCAAAGAACTGGTGTGAAAAACATAAATTACTAACAGAAAATCACCTTGATTTAATGATGTTTGAAAACGAAGTGCTAGCAATCATTGAAGGAATGCACATCGCCCGTTAGACTTAAATCTTTTTGGAGTAAAGGAATTCTAGATGTTTTAGTTAACCTCACAAAAAAGCTTTCTTGAAATCTTGTAAGAGGCTGAGCTCAAGCTCAAAGTGTGTGCTATAAAGCAGGGGTTCTCAAGCCATTTGGGTCTGAGGATCCCTTACAAGGGTGAAAAATTCCAGGGACATTTCAACCCCTAAATGCCATGGGAATATATATTTTTATTAAGTTTATTATGTTTGTTTTATTAGTTCATTGTTCTCCATGCATTTTTAAAAATAAAAACCAAATTAAAATTTTAGTAAAAATTTTTGAGGACCTCCAAGACACCTGTCACGGACTCCTGGAGGTCCAGGGACCCCAGTTTGAGAACCTCTGCTGTAAAGGACTCAGGTGCCACACCCATGTTTTAGTTGATTATCAGTCCAGCCGTACAGCTGTTCTGAAGTATGTGACTGTGTTCATGTGAGTGTTAGCAAAACATCTCATAAACCACTCAGGAAGTTTCACTGAATGTACCGCAACTGATTAACTTTTAGGTTTGAGGTGGCTGCCACATGGATTCAGCTCAGACAGTTTTTACAGATTTTGAATTAAAATTTGTTGTGGTAGCTGAGACAGCCTGAACGACTTCAACTCTCATCATAAGATGATGTTTGTCTACAACGATGACATGATAGGTGGTGAGCGATATGTTTTCCTCCAAGGAGCGCTAGGCCTTTAACTGTAAGCATAATCTTCCATTTGTTGAATATGATTATTTTTATTTAAAGTGATGGTTTAATGTGGCTATATGAAACATAATAAAATAATACACCAATAAAAATAACACAACTGTACTATAGGGAAAGGAGAAAGATGCAAGTCAGCAATATTGGGTTTTGGGAGTCTTGGATACGGAGCCAGAGCATCTACAGGAAAAGGGTTTGGGATCAGATGAGAGAGGCAGTATCCAGCCTCTTGCCAGGGCAACACATGCTTCATAAAATCCAAGGTAACATTAACCAGGAGTGCATGTACTGTTCATGTAATCGACTGTATTTACACAGTTTTAGTGACTGGAATATTGGATCTGTTGCAGGGAAGTTTGGAGTAGGCGTGAAGGCCTATTTTGTTTTCCTCAGATATCTGATTTATTTGAACCTGCTACACTGTGTTCTCATCGGGGGATTCATTTTGGGACCCACACTATATTACAGCAAGAACCCTTGTAAGTCAGAAGGAAGTGGATGGAACAAAATTTAAAGGGATCCCCGATTAGTTGTAACATCAGACTTTATTTAATAAACATATAAAATGTAAAATAAAGACTGTAAAAATACTGTGGGCTGTTTAGTTTTTATCATTTTTAAACTAAAAGTTTTAAAATATATTACACGGACGGGGCCATTTTATTTACACACAAGCATTCTGGGTAAATGATGACGTAGATAGGTCCTCGGTGTGAGCGAGCTATATCC